TTTTTTTTTTTTTCCACTGGCCCTAATTCTCTTCCGTACATATATACCTGAAATATCTCACATGCATTTGAATTCTTTGGTAACTTCCCGCTTCCTGTATAGTTGGTCGCAGTCATTTTCAACAGTCTTGCTGCTTTTGAATCTTTCTTTAAGGCTACGTTCACACTGCAGCATGAAGTGACCCAAATCCGATTTTTTTTGCTCATATGCGACCTGGATCTGATCTTTTCATGGCTGTCTGAACAACACAGATCCGATTTTTTCCAATGCGACGCAGGCCACTTGGCTCTGTGGTCCTGAATCCGATACGAATCTGATCAAACGCGACCTGTTTCTGAACAGCCAGGTCGCATTCATTCGACCTGAAAATCATTAATACCCGACACTAATATGTGTCTTCCTACGCAGAAGCGGCAAGAAAATCAACAACCATGGTAGATGATGATGCAGAGAGCAGTATTTATGTTTAACCATATTGAAAAGATTGTGTTTTATGGTTGGAAAAGACCGCTAGATGCGAGCCGGCGCTGCCATCCATGTTTACTTCCGGAAAAAAAGACTGGCCTGTGACGTCATTGCGTCCTCTACTGCACATGTGGGACACTTGCGTTGTATGACTGCAGTTCACACAGGAGATCACATACAAGTCGCATATAATTGGAAATATGAATGGCAACGTAAAAATAATCAGATTTCACAACAAAAATCAGAATTGAGCATCAAAGCCTGAAGTGTGAACGTAGCCTAAAAGTGCAATAATAGCACATGACAAAAAACTAGCCGGTCCCACCATTTTAATATTATTTCTAAATATATTTTCTCAGCTTTAATAATGTAATAATGTATGCCAATGTATGCCTACTTCTTTACCTCTTCGTGGTTCTGCTGCACCTGCTCTAAGAATGTTTGTCACCCTGAGGTGAGAACTCACATTTCCAGGGCCATTCGATGAGGAGACTGCAGTCTTCCATTATCTACGACCTCTTTTTCTAAATCAGAGTTATTTTGTATCATTAGTAATGAATGTGTGCACCCAAATCTTTCCTTTTATTTTTTTACAAATGAAATGTTGTACTCTGTCCCTGTAAAAATAAAAAAAACATACCATACTTAAACATAATGTAATTTATTAAATAAGACGTTCTTTATATTTTCACTGTCATATATAAGATGTTATCCATTTTAATCCTTTGATGTAAGTTTCTTCTTCTCTGGATCTTTTATTTCAAGCCTTTCAGGCCGTTTATCGATTCACAAGAACGTGAGTACGGACTCGTGTTCTCGCCAAGTATGTTCTTGAGAAAAACACGGGAAAGTCTGGACTTGGTGAGAATGGGAGCATGCAGCGTAAATATGGGTCAATTGGAACAAAAGCATACTGATGACATCATCACAAGCTTGGTTCGCCAGGAGCTGCATTTCACTTCCTGTTATTAATAGTCTCTAGATAATGATAAATTCTGACTTTTTTTATTTGGGGATAGTCATTTCAGACGAGATCTGGCCTAGAGCTCTTAATCTTGTGAATGACACTACTTCTTATGTAAGTCTTAATCTAATTCAGTTTAAAATTCTCCATCATACTCACTATAGCAAAGTCAGGCCTGCCAAAATATATAATTTTTAATATATAATACATGACTTTAATAGTAATATATGTTAAGTGTCCAACTATACCTTACTTTTGGACAGTATGAATACATTAACATTGGGTGAAATGTGAGGCAAGTGTCCCACAATGGAACATTTGCCTTAAAATTTCCTCAATAGAAATGTATGTTAAGTGTCCCATTATACCTTACTTTGGGACAGTATGAATACCTTAACATTGGGTGAATTGTAA